ATGAAAGATACAGATGCTGTGAGATGCTATCATCCATTTTGAGCCTATCTGAGGAAAATGTCACAGCACCACATTCTCAGGTTATCGAGATAGTGTGAAGCAGTGTATGAAAAATTATCGATGGTGGCATCTATTATAACTGAAGAAAATAGTAGGAGATTTGACCCGGTTCTAAGCCTCCCCTCTCCACTATGACGTATTAATTGCTTTTTTTTGTTGTTTAGTGAAGTCAAGGCGATGTGACCTTGAACTGTCTGGTGCAGGTTCGTTCAGATTTTTTTTTCAGCCGGTTCTGGGCCTCCCTCCCCCCACCACTATGACGTAATAATTGTTTTTTTTTGTTGTTTAGTAACATCAAGGCGATGTGACCTTGAAGTGTTTGGTGCATGGATCATTCAGAAGTCTTTTGAGTTCGACCTTGAAAGTCCTTCACCTAAGTTACACCATTGAACTACGTCACAAGGTAACGCGGACAAGGCGACTTTGAGGTAGTGTTTTGGGTTTGACTTTGAATGACTTTCATTCACACTTTATATTTTCACAGCTATTTCGAACAATGTTCAAAGTCGCATAACCTTGGAGGTTGACCTTGAGATTTTAGTCTGTCTCGGGTCACATTAACATTGAAATGACCTCTACATACATCACATGATGTCGACAAGGTGACTTTGAAGAAGTCTTTTGAGTTCCACTTTGAACGACCTTAACCTACGCCACACCCTTGAACTACGTCAAAATGTGATACGGTCAATGTGACTTTGAGGTAGTGTTTTGGATTTAACCTTGAATGACCTTCATCCACTTCCCTTATTTTCACGACCTTATTTTGACTTTGAAATGACCTCTACATACGTTACATGATATCGACCTTGAATGACCTTCAACTACGTCACATCCTTGAACCACGTCACACTGAGAGTAGTGTGGGGCGTTACCACGACCACAACCGAATCATATAAAAGACGAGTTGTGATCGTGAACGTCGTCATTCATCACATGAGAGCGCATCCAGATGAATTCCGAAAATCTCGCAGCTGTAGCTTGAATTTCGTTTTTCTCACAGTGTCGTCTTTCCTTAGCATATGAAACCGGATTACGGCTAAAAATATACATTTTTATTAAATAACTTATCTATTTTGAATTTTATAAGAAAAATAGTTATACAAAAGTTCTATAATTTTTTTCATAAAATCGATATTTTTCGAGAAAGGGTGGAGGTGAAATTTTGTCATTGTATTATCACGTTTATTTTTGACTTCACGAGAAAATTTGTGACAAAGTTGTATAAAATTGAATTTCCTACAATTTCGACCCCATAAATTTTCTTTTCCATAGGCTCGATATTTTTTTCGATTCAAATCTGAAATTAGTAGGGGGTAAAATCTTATAATGGAATTATCTCATTTATTTTCAATTTCACAAGAAAAAATACAATGATCAATGTTGTATGAAATGAAATGAAAGACGAAGAATTTTTTTCACGTTGTTTATTCAAAGATTACAAACTGCTTCTTCTAGCCTTCCAATATCTGCCAAACTAATTTGAGTGTTTAGCTGTCGTCATCGTCTTCGAATTAAAATTAAGGGAAATAAATGTTGATTATGTCGCCATGTTGTCAACTCCCTTCTTGATCCGCTTCTGGAGATCCTTCACACAGTTGCTAATGCGGGCGACTTCGAGCCGGTACTGTTTCGTTGAATCACCCTCAACACGGTACTCCTTATTGACTCCGACGATGTCCTGACTTCCCCTTTCAATGTTGGTTTCCACCTCTGACAGTTCAGTCAGCAAACGCCTTTTCCGTTCGACTAGTTGTTCCTGTCGAACCACAAATTGTCGCTTGCGTGTGGGAATCTCTGCCAATCTCTCGTCGCTGCCCCGGGTCCTCTCTCGGCATATTCTGCCGAGTTCGAGCACGTCGTTGACTAAGTTGCAGATCCTCTGCGGTGTCGGTAACTCCACCTCGCTGCCAGATGGTGGGTCGGAAGTTGCCCCCTGAACAGTTGGCACAGGCATCGGTGGTGGAGGTACTATGGATCTGGCTTTTGGTAGGTTATGCGGCCCGGTTGTGGTCTCTAAAGATGTCGTGGTGGTTGGGTCAATGTTTAATGCAGTAGATGGTATCTGCGACGCCGTCGGTGGCTGTTTTTTCTTATTGACCGTCTTGGACTTTGAAACGGTGGTATCCAACGTAGAAGGGGCTCGCCACAGGGTCGAGGTCATCGGCGGCTGCCGATAAGGATTCCTTTCATCCCATAATTTCATATATTTCCGCAGCTCCGACTGCTTTGGTTTCACCTTCGGCTCCACCTGCTTCGACTTAGTGGCGGATACCCTCTTCTTAGTCGGTGGGGGGCAGCAAGCTCATGATCACTACCGCTCGCTGCCACTCTCTTTCTCGTTCTCTTCGAGCCCTTCTCCGCATCTTTGCTGGTGCTGCTCATTTCAGAAGAGGGAGTGGATGAACGAACAACCTCCATTCTGCCACCTCCAGGTCTTGGAATCGTCACCATCACAGCTTCTTCAGGAAGGAGGCTGTGGGAGGGTTCTACATGGAATTCCGTTAGGGAGTCCACGATATTCTCTGGTAGCTCTAATCCCTGCACCAACACCACGTCTTGCTGGATATTCACCTTGCCCTTCTCAGATTTACCTGTATCAGTAAAAATACACATTAATAGTTTATCTGAAGAATGATTGGTTGGGTAACAGGATAAATTTTTTCTCAAAGAAACAATTGTTTTCTTGCCAACGTTTCGAATTAAATTGAATTCTTCTTCAGGGCTCTGTAACAATGTAGTTTCATTTAAAAATAAAATAAAAAAAATTGCAACAACTTCGACAGAACAGCAACGCAAAGGGACATGAATGTATAGATTCCAAATACTTTTGTTACAATGGAACTATTTACAAACACATTTTTTTGGGTGGTAATGGGTAGTTGAATGTCAACCATTTGTGCAGATTTGGTTGCAAGATTGCGATTGCGATTCTAGCGTACATCGTTCAGATTTTATTCATGATTTATTCGGATTTTACAGCTGAACATATACCTAAAAGGTCACACTTTCAAACTCACTTTTAAGCTAGAACGCCTGGGAATATCGTCTTATGGCATGCGACTTTCTTCCCTAGGGGGTCGTCTTTTACATGAAACCAAAGAAAAAAAAAAGGAAAATGGAATTTGAAAATTTTCCAGAATTTTGCTGGATACTTTATGGGAAAAAGGCCTTTACAGTTGTTTAGACAGGAAAATCGATTTCGATAAAGTTTTTATTCATGATTTATTCGGATAAACAAACTGAAATATTAGATACTTTTCATAGTTTTCTTCCAAAACTGAAATGTACTCTTGAAATGGAAGAAAACAATTCGTTACCATTTCTGGATACTAAAATAATTAAAGATTCAAATCAAATTTCAAAGGTAGACTGCTATCATAAACCAACTTTCTTTGAGAGATTTTTCAAAACATAACTTCCACAGTAAAATCAACATTATAAGGAATTTGAAATCTAGAGCAATTGCCATTTCCAATTCTGATTTCCATAACAAAAATCTCTAATTGATTGAGAATTACCTAGTAAAAAAATAATTTTTCTAAAGCTCTCATTAGAAAAATAATGACAGAAAGAAGTTCCTCTTCCCAAAATACTGAGGTGAAACCCAAATATCACAAAATTCCATTTATAGAAAATTTATCTGATAATCTTGGAATGATAGTCATTACCAATCAAATTAAAGTAGCCTTCTCAAATGAAAATACAGTTGGAAAGCATTTTTTTAANCTACATCGTTACAGAGCCCTGAAGAAGAATTCGAAACGTTGGCAAAAAACAATTGTTTCTGTAAGAAAAGAATTGATCCTGTTACCCAACCAACCATTCTTCAGAAAAATTATTGATTCACTAAATTAGTTAACTGATTAATAATATACTTACAGTTTCGATTCGAAGACGATGACGACAGCTAAACTCTCAAATTAATTTGGCAGATATTGGAAGGTGAGAAGAATCAGTTTGAATGAACAGTTACTTTTTATATCTAAACCACTCCTCACCCCCTCCACATACCACCTCTCTTTCACCTGATACGGGTACTGAATACTTCACGAGAAAAATTGTGATCGACAACGTTGTATAAATTTGAATTTCCTACAATTTTTAACTCTATAATTTTTGTTTTTCATAGGATCGATTTTTTTCGATTTAAACCTGATAAAAACTTTGTAACATTACAATCAGAATAAATCTCATATTTTCCACATACCTTACTTCCCCACAAAAGTTAATATATTTCTTGTGTATATTAAACATTCATACTCACAATAAAAAAATCGTTAGTCAAATCATAATGATCAAAGTTGAATGAAATTGAATTTTCAACAATTTTGAAGGAATAGGCACTGACAGCAAAGAAATGAAGTATATTCCCAAACTTTTTTTCCCATCCTATCTTATTTTTATTATCACAAATTTCATGAATCAAATTCGTGAAAAATATTCTTTAAATGAATAGATACCCATGAAGTTCTTGAAAATTCATTAACAGAAACCTGATACTCAATTCTTTTATATTAGCAGTATTATATACAACTTGTTCAATGTGATTTTCAAGTTTCCTACTTAGATGGTTTTGTTTTTTGTAATATTTTTAATACAATAATAGTTGGTATGAAAAAAAAATTTTCAGTAAAAACATATTTTTGCATACAACCTTCCATTATAAAAAACATGAGATGTTATTAGACGCCACCTCAATATTATTGTGTCTCTAGAAAATGTTCCCACACTTTCTATAGCATGCACACGAATATTTTTTTCAATGCATCCAACATCCAATCCGTGAAAGAATACATAAAAATGCTGATTTACGATTATAGCCACTGATAAATAAGGCTATTTATAAGTCAGGTTCTACCTACCGAAATGCAGTGGATCTTTTATGTTTCATTAACAAAGAAAGTATCAGGAAATGCTCACAATGCTCACAATGGTAGACACCTTCAATAGATATTGTCAATGTCGTAGAGTTCAAAAAATGTATTGATTTTCGATAATCAGCGACCAATAATTGATATAACTGCATTACAGTGATATGTCTATTGAAATTATTGAAACTGGTGTCATAATGAATGAAATTTGTGATAATAAAAATAAGATAGAGTGAGATTTTTTCTCTAAAAAAAAGAATGTATTCTCAAAATAATAAGTTTCTCAAAATAAAATACAATAATATAATAATTGTACATTAGATTAGCAGTATTATATACAACTTGTTCGATGTGATTTTGAAGTTTCCTACTTAGATGGTTTTGTTTTTGTAAGAATTTTAATATTTTCAGTGCAATAATAGCATGTATTTAGTTGGTATGAAAGAAAATTGTCAGTAAAAACATATTTTTGCATACAACCTTCCATTATAAAAAACATGAGATGTTATTAGACGCCACCTCAATATTATTGTGTCTCCAGAAAATGTTCCCACACTTTCTATAGCATGCACACGAATATTTTTTCAATGCATCCAACATCCAATCCGTGAAAGAATACATAAAAATGCTAATTTACGATTATAGCCACTGATAAATAAGGCTATTTATAAGTCAGGTTCTACCTACCGAAATGCAGTGTATCTTTTATGTTTCATTAACAAAGAAAAAATCAGGATATTCACAATGCTCACAATGGTAGACACCTTCAATAGATATTGTCAAAGTCGTCGAGTTCAAAGAAATGTATTGATTTTCGATAATCAGCGACCTCGAAATAATTGATATAACTGCATTACAGTGATATGTCTATTGAAATTATTGAAACTGGTGTCATAATGATTGGAATTTGTGATAATAAAACAAAGATAGAGTGAGATTTTTTTCTCTCAAAAAAAGAATGTATTCTCAAAATAATATTAAGCTTCTCAAAATAAAATGCAATAATATAATAATTGTGCACTTTCATTCAGATATATTTCGAATTAACAAGTATCCTCTAAGGCAGTGCTTGTGCGTGAGTGATTTACTTATTCCAAACATTGACAATAATTAGTACACTTTAAAATCGGGTACAGTTGCATTTCTATATAAGACTTATATGTATAACCTAATTGGTTTTGAAGATATAATTTTCAAAAATCTTTTTTGTATTACTTCAAGATTCTGCAAGTGAGTATTTGTTGTTGCCCCTCAAGCTAGAATAACGTAAGTATGATTATGATAGATAAAGAATTTTTAGATACTTGAAATCCAATATTTGCTGAAAGTATTTGAACCTATATAGGAGAGAACGTATAGTTTTACAGACTTGCACCAGATGTTTATCCCACCTAAGATGATAATTCACTATTATGCCCAGATATTTCGCATTATTGGCTCTTTCAATCGTAAGTCAGTGACAATTGATGAAGATGCCTTAGTAACCTTCCTCTTGATTGTTCTAGATTTCTTATCAACACCAAGAGAAAGGGTAGATGAAGGGTATTTGAGTGGTTACTAGAGAAAGGTTACTAATGCATCTTCATCAGTTGTCACTGACTTCAAAGAAAAGAAACAATCGAAAAGTGTTGTGTGAGACATACTTTCAATAAACCATGAAAAAAACCTGTTCCGTTCCATTTTCTTGTTACGTCAGAGGCATCCTGAACTACAAGTTACAAATTATTATAAGCTTGGATGAAGCTATTACGATTAAAAGAGCCAATAATGCGAAATATCTGAGCATAATAGTGAATTGTAATCTTGGGTGGGATCAACACCTGGTGCAAGTCTGTAAAACTCTACGTTCTCTCCTAAATAGGTTCAAATACTTTCAGCAAATGCTGAAGTATCTAAAAATTCTTTATCAATCATTAGTGAAACACGACTTACTTACGGTATTCTAGCTTGAGGGGCAACAACAAATACTCACTTGCAGAATCTTGAAGTAATACAAAAAAGATTTTTAAAAATTATATCTTCCAGACCAATTAGGTATTCCTCCGACCTACTATTTGCAGAAACGGAAGTCTTTGATTTGCGTCAGCACTATCACTATAAAAGTGTGATAAGACAATTCAAAAGCAGATTTAATCTAACAGTTGAAAGGGTAAGGGAAAAGTTTCCAACCTGATTAAAATGAAGATGACTATCGACGACATTTTGTCTTACATACATATATATGTGACGTTAGCTGTCAAGTTGACAACACATAAATTTTTCGCTGCGAAGAAATCGATAATTTCTGAGTGTTTCTGGTTGATGATCAGCCATTCACCAGTGGTTATCTCTCGTGATAGTGAAGTGCGTTGGTTATAGTGCGCAAGAGCCTTCCAGACTTCTGGTGAGTACGTTTGAATATTATCATTTCTGTTCTGTTCATTGTGCTCACGCCACGTGTCAATTTTCGCTAAAAATCTCATAGCAGTATGGAGGAACTGCTTCGCGGTCTGGCTGGCAGGGAAAAAGCCGAGATTGTTAGCATTGTATGCCAACTAATCTCGTGCATTGCCAGTCCATGGGGACAGCCGTCAAAATTTGACGGATGAGAATCAGGGAGTGTCTAATGCCCCTACTGAAAGTGAGAATTCTCTGAGAGATTCAGACAATGAAAGCAATCTTTCCTTCTCCTCTACTTCGAAGAAAAGAAGGATCTCCGATAAATTTCCTCCGCTACCAGACGTGTCCAGCCGCAAGGTGAACGAATGGATCAGGAAGGAAAAACCAAAAAAATTAAAGAAAATATCAAAAAAGGTTGTCATCGACAGTGTCAAAAAGGAGGCTCGGAATTATT